CATGACATCATTTCCTTGAAGGAAGAAAGAATACAGATAAATAGAACCACTATTTTGTTCTCATGACATCATTTCCTTGAAGGAAGAAAGAATACAGATAAATAGAACCACTATTTTGTTCTTATGACATCATTTCCTTGTAAGTATATGTATGTTTGTATTAAACATTTGTTTCCTCACGTTTTGTTGGCACTTTATGTATATATTGCTATTGAAAAAAAAATTATTTTGTATTTAACTTTTATATTATCCTGTAGTATTCTTGTTAAAGCATAAGGCTTAAGACAAGAATACTACAGGATAATATAAAAATGAAATACAAAATACAGTACATAACAAATATCCTTCAACAAAGACTATAAATCTATTGAAAAAATGTCACAGTTCACACAAAATGTCACAGTTCACACACACACAAAGCATATTAGAAAACACATTTATTTCTCCTGGATTTATTCCTTTTCTTGCACAAAACTAAAATTTTAGTATTGGTGTAGAAAATTTAGGTTTCTCCAAGTTGATAAATATTTGATGATCTCAACATTTTTACACCAGAGGGTCTTTTGTAAGTCTTAGGAAAAAACAGTTATTATTATTATTATTCTAATTATATTTTAGTGACTAAGTTGTTAGAGAAAGTGTCGTATGCAATAGGTTAGGGAGGAAAGAATATTTGTTGGAGATTATACAGTTTTAAAGTATACAAAGTTAATCAATAGAAAATAATGACAGGAAATCGTATAATCAAAATCTACTTACAACTACAAAGCCGGATTTTAACTCCGAATCAGACACGAGTCTTAAGTGAATTCCTAACATTGACAACATTCAGAGGCGTTTACAATCTCTGACATTGTGTTTTTAACCTTTAACATACTCTGTCTGTCTTTGATAACTTTGAGATTGCAGGAAATGTGTTTATTACCGTGTTTTTTTTCTCTTGTTATCTCATTGTAAAGAAATATCACTACAAGCCTACTAACCATAGCACAAACAACAGTCCTCAAATTGTACCCTAACCAGGACAGTATCTATACGGTTAAAAAGAAGCGTTTGTTATTTAGGCCTTTGTTACGTATGCTGTTGATTCAAAAAATAACTATTATCTCAACTTTCTCTCTTTTTTACACTGTTTACTCCACCATCATTTTATATTTATATTTCACATTTACATGTTGGAGGCAACATTTCCGACAAGCGATATAATAATGCATCTAAATAGCTAATGTAAAAAAATTTGTACTTATTTGGCCTTACACAACTTATCTCTTTTATTAACATGCCGTTTCTTGTTGTTTTTCTTGCTAGTCAAGCTACTACAGTACTACTGACATAGCTTATCTCTTTCATGAACATGCCGTTTCTTACTTGTTGTTTTTCCTGTTCTTCAAGCTACTACAGTACTACTGACATAGCTTATCTCTTTCATGAACATGCCGTTTCTTACTTGTTGTTTTTCCTGTTCTTCAAGCTACTACAGTACTACTGACATAGCTTATCTCTTTCATGAACATGCCGTTTCTTACTTGTTGTTTTTCCTGTTCTTCAAGCTACTACAGTACTACTGACATAGCTTATCTCTTTCATGAACATGCCGTTTCT